GAGAGAGAGGGCCAAGGCCATCCCTGAGATCTACCTCACCCGCCTGCTCTCCATGAAGGTACACACACACACACACACACACACACACACACACACACACACACACACACACACACACTGACTAGATATATTGATCTGTTTGCATTTCACAATAAATATATTACTACAATAATAAAGTACATATTATATTAACATGTAACTCCTGCATTTACTTGTTCGCTTCGAACATTTGGCTTATTTATTGTATGTATAGTTTACTTCATCTGCATTACTTGCACATAGGTCTTGTGACATAATCTGCACCATTTTTTTTTTTTATCCAGTTTCTTCTTGCACAATTTGTATTGTTTAAAAGAAAAGCCTGGGACTTAATATGTGCACACAATGCACAACGTTTTCATGTGCAAAATAAAAAATACATTCACGTATAAATCCTGCAACATGAACCCACTGCAGGTACACAGTGAAAGCAGTAACAAACAAACGTCCTCCTCCCCCCCCCCCCCTCTCGCTCTCCAGGGGACGCTGCAGAAGTTTGTGGACGACCTGTTCACAGTGATCCTCAGCACCAGCCGCCCTGTCCCGCTGGCCGTCAAATACTTCTTCGACCTGCTGGACGACCAGGCGGCCAAACACGGCATCTCCGACCCGGAGACCATACACATCTGGAAGACCAACAGGTACAGTCGAGACACACACACACACACACAATGAACTCAAAGCCCTTCAGAGGTGCTGGAGCCAGGTGTCTGATGTCTCCTCTTCCTCTCCAGTCTGCCTCTGCGTTTCTGGATCAACATTGTGAAGAACCCTCAGTTCATCTTTGACGTGCAGGCCTCGGACCACGTGGACGCCGTGCTGTCCGTCATCTCTCAGACCTTCATGGACTCCTGCACCATCGCCGAGCACAAGCTGGGCCGGGTGAGCAGAGCTTCATGAGCTTAGATTGAACACACTTTCATCCTATATGGGCTCTTATTTTCAATAGCTGTTTCGGGGGCAGTCTAGTTTGAAACGTATTTACTTTTTCACAAGAGACTGAAGATGAAAAACAAGAGCGCACTTTAACAGGGGGAACAGTTACAGCTGTAAATGCTCCCCCCCTCCCCCCTTTGTGTTCTCATCTCCTTGTCCTTCTGAGCAGGACTCTCCCATCAACAAGCTGCTGTATGCCAGAGACATCCCCCGCTACAAGCAAATGGTAGAAAGGTGAGTTCATGTTGAATGAATGATGACGCTCAACACTAACACTGGCTAACTAACGGGTTAGTTTAGGCATAAAAGATCAACTTTACTATCAATATGTATAGTAAAAAAAAGATAATGCCGCTTGCTTGTTGATGAGTATGGTGATGTAAGGGATGATTATGGTGAGACATGATAGCCTGTTGGCTGTCACAAAATGAAAATGGCAGGTTATGGCTAATAATAGGAGTTAGAGCAAATGTTACCTGATGAGTTAAATGTTTGATTACATAGTATGGCAAAAAGTAACTTTCACAATTCCAACAAATACCCTTTAGGCTCATTAAAACATAGTGTTAAACGGTTCCTTGAACAATATGACTTACATTCGATCCATGTTGCAATGTTATTGTCTAATATTAATGCTCTGTAATAAAACAAAATAAATGTTATGAAGTATAAAATACTGTTGGTTACAGGTGGGGTTTGCATTTGAAGATATCTTTTAACTTTTGTATTCTTTTTTAATTGTAACTGCTGTTATTGAAGGTACTATGCGGACATCAGGCAGACCATCTCAGCCAGTGACCAGGAGATGAACTCTGCTCTGGCTGAACTGTCTCGGGTACGTGCACAGAATACACACACACACACACACACACACACACAGGACACGTGACCTAATTGCTTTGTGTTTCAGAACTACTCTGGGGAGCTAAACTACCTGGTGGCCCTGCACGAGCTGTACAAGTACATCAACAAATACTACGACCAGGTGTGTACCCTCAGTGTGACTCAGCAGTTTATCAGTTGTATGGTTTGTGTTTACACTCTACGCTGAATGAAATACCTGAACAGTAGATGAGGAGCTGGTAGTTTGTTCTTCTTTTGCAGAATATGTTTAATGTCTTCAATCAGGTTTATATCTGACTTTGTTAAACATTGTGACACTTTCGTAGACATTACAAAAATAGTTGTTATAATGTGTTGCTGCCTGTTTGACTGTTTATTGGGGCAATTGTTAATGAATATGTTGAACAAGCTGAAACAGTAGGGGATAACAGAGCCTACCCACTGCATAGTAATCTTCCCAAATGTATAAATATTCTTTATTGCATTTCTTTCAGTAATTCTTCTCATAAACGTTCAGATGACTGACATTTAGACTCATTTGTATAGCCCAAAATCACACGTGTCTCAGAAGCCCTTGCCCTCTGAGACTTAGTTAAGATAAGAGAAAACAAACAGAAGGTTCTTTAAAGTAGAAAACACTCTTTTGTGTGCTTCTGAAGGTGTGTGCTTTTGTGTTCTGATGGTGTTTGTCATCTGTGTTCCTCCTCTTCACTCTCCCTCCTCCCATCCTTGCGTGATCTCAGATCATCACGGCGCTGGAGGAGGACCCCACAGCCCAGAAGATGCAGCTGGGCTACAGACTGCAGCAGATCGCTGCCGCCGTGGAGAATAAAGTCACAGACTTGTGACAGAGCAGGCTGATACTGGGAGGGGGGGGGGACCAGACCTACACCCTGCAGCTGGACCTGAGAGCAGGAGAGCCACAGGCAGACTGAAATGAATCCTTCTGTTCAGGAGGAAGTCAAGGAGCACTGAGATTTTGAAAAAACATTTGCTTTGCTAAGGATCAGAAGACTCAGGTTGGAGTTGAAAGCACCTTGTGGTCTGAGCGCTCTGAGGAGGAGCAGAGCGTGGACACTGACAAGAACCCTGGAGTCAATGAGGCCTGCTCTCCTTAACCTAATGAAGAGACATTTGAAAGCGAAACTTCTCTGTGTTTATCTCTAAAGAACACCTGCTGGACTTACACAGCAGCTGATCTGCAGTCAGCTGATCTTCAGGCTGATCACAGCTGTGTGCTAACTGTTGTCCCTCAGAGTGAATTTATGAAGCTGTACCTCTTATGCCTTGTGTGCTTGTCGCTGCTGTATTAGTTATTTCTGTGTGTGCGTGCGTGTCCATTTCACTGCTTGTCAATCTACACTCTGTATTGGCAATTTTCTGTTTTTTAGTACAAAGCATTGATGTAACTGGTTATTTACTTAGATGACTGCAGTATTCACAAAACGATTACCTAAGCTTCCATATTCTTTCTCTGAAATGGACATGTTTTAGAATGAAACCTTGGTCACAACATTGTTTTTACACCCTTCTAATCAAAGAAAACGGCTGAGTCACTGCCACTCTCTACCTCAGCCTGATGTACCTTGCTTTCCTGTGATGCTGTTGACACAACACCAACACTACTACTTAGATTTCAAGCAGCTAAAATGACCAGTATAGCAGTGCAGCATCTGCCGTCTTTGACACAGAGCAACACCAGCTGGAGATTCTCATCAGCCGCAGTACGAACACACACACATTTCTGAAATTGAGATTGGAAATCAGAACCAGCTCATTAGAGCATTTTAAGGTACTTGCTCCCCGACTGAATGTCAGTTTACTCTGTTTTAGTTTCTCGCCTTTATACTTATTCATGTGTCTATAGTGTACAAATCACTGGAATGATGTCAGAGGAAAAGTAAAAGTAATTCCATAAAGAAACTCCATGAAGTGGAATCTTAGTGCACACCACAGTGCTTTATTTTGTTAGTCAGTCATATTTCTTTTAACTGTGTACATTTTAACATTCCTTTTTAAGTTTTAAACAATGTATTAAAATCATGGTTCACCTCTACGCTATGATGATGGTACGTGTTGAGGTTTCTTGGTGTTGACATCATGGCTGGTAAACAGTTCTTGTATTGAACACAAGGTGGCACCGCTTCCTTTGCTGAAGGTCTGTCTGGCATTTAGCTTTGTCAAGTTGATACAAGTTTATATATTGATTATATTACTACTGGTTCAGTAGATATTGCTGATCTTGTCACAGTTCTGTTCAGTTAGAGCACAGAGACCTTTTATACATGAGCAAATGTTTTTCTTATTTAAATGACAGAACGAGGTGGCTTTCAGTAGGGCTGGGTGTGGTTGGACTGCCCTTTAATTTGGGTACCCATTCGGTAATGGTTAGGAATTGCAGATATTAGAGGCTGGGTTCAGTTGAACACAAGGGGAAACCCAAAGAGACAGGAAATCAGACCCTGCGTGGATTTCGAAAGTAATGAGGTGTGGTACCCAGCCCTAGTTAGTCATCAGCGACCAAAACGATGAAAGTGAATGAAGAGTGTTTGTGTATGTCATTCCCGGGTCCAGGCATGTGAGAATGTAGCCTGTAGGTTTATTACTACATGACTTAACATACAGAAACTAATGACTCATGAACGGATGGCTTGTTCTGTCATACACTGTCACTTCAGATAAGACTAAAAGCTCAGTGATAATAAAGTCATTTCAAGAGGAACATTATACCTGTTTAGGCTGTACAAATTTGGCAATGTAGAGCAGGCTCTGCAATGAGCAGTTTTAAGGATGTTTCTTATTGTGTGTGTTAATATCAGTGTACATATTGATTGAAAATGTAACTGTAGTGGTTTAACCTGTTTAATAAGAGATGGTGCACATTCTCACAGATGCTGATGTAATAAAGTATTCTTAAAAGTTGTTGTTTTCCTTCTTCAAAAAAAACCAGGCTCCTCTGTGTACTACTTCATTTAAACAGACCTTTTCACAGTTTATTGCTATTCAGCTGCTACAGGATAAACAAGTAGCCTAGCCTATAATATACGGTGTTGCTTATTCAGGTTAACATATTCGAATGGACAGTCATTGTAAAAACAACCATTATGTTTTGATTCGATTATTAAAATAGATGTTTCCTAAAGCAAGCACTCGTCCTCACGTTTTTAATGAAGGGAAGCCCATATTCATAATGCACCAGCATATGACCACCACCGCATCACTAATATCAGCAGAATATCTGGAACGCCACATTCGTCAAGAGGCAGCATCCTCCAACCAACACAGGGTCCAAAATGGAGTAACGCTGAATGTTCTCTGTTTCAAACGGAAAGTGTTGCGTTGCGGGTGAAAATTGAGACTTCTAAAAACCACTGTGAGGAAATCGCCTTCGTTGTTCCTGCTGTCTAGCTAGCTGCGCAGAACAGGTAACTGACATGGGATTACTTCTGCAACTGACTGGAAGGAAGCTAGTCCAGTTAGCGTTAGCGGCTAATGCTATGCTCATAGCTACCTTTTTAACAACGGCTTTTAAGCAATAAAGGTTGCCTGAGCGTTACATGACTGTTTGAAAGCATTGAAGTTAAGCAACGTAATGCAATTTGTGATTCGTATTATTGGTGAAATATTTCGAAATGGTAGTATAAACCAAAGCTAAACGGTGCTAACGTTAGGTGCTTTGTTTGCGATGCTAATTGTAATGGTGTGTAACATGAGCTAACAGCTGTAAATAACAGCCAGAGCTAGCAACATTAAAACCTATTTTGTGGCTGTTTGTTAGTGTAGCGATATTATTCGTTCCCTTCACATCTCCCTTTGCGTATGAATAAAGTGTCATATCTTATTACATTAATGCGGCCCTGCTTGGTAAGTAACATCATAACCAAAACGTATGACGTTTTGCAAAATAATATATATCAATGCATTAACTAAACTACTTTATGTACATTGTGTCAGTTTACCAGAAGAGCTCCTATGTGTTTAAATCTTAAAGTGTTCATGTTACCGCTGCAGGCCCTCTGATCATTACATTAGCTTGTACAGTTTGTGTTAGTAAGCGATTCAGCCAGCAATGTGCGCAAATATCATGTTTGCGTTTCGAGGCCTGCACAATGAAAGAGCCTTTAGAATAAGAAGTGCTCTCTAAAATGCACACAGTCATTCATATAAATATTGTCGATTGTGGACGGGATGTATATTTTTCCAAAGTTTGATTGTGTTGACCTGTGCGTCGGTTGTGAGCAGGTGTTCATTGTGACTGCCTGTGTTCCAGTGAAGAATGGAGCCTTCAGAGCAGGCAGGCCCAGACTCCGGCTCTCAGGATGTCAACCCTGTCTTCCTGCAGCAGCTCAGAGAGCTGGACATCCCAGAGGAGGCAGCCAAACAGGTGGGACAGCACACATGTACATCAACATGTAATGATGTGCGCTACTGTGAATGTTTCATGTTTCTATAAGCTATGACATAGCTGTGTTGATGGTTAATAATACTGAAAGATGTATGGAAAACCTGAGTGGGTAGCACTTCGCCGTCCATTTGATTATACCTTATTGGCTACAATGTAATGGTATCTTGATCATGCACAACATTTCCCCCTGATCGATACTATGAGATGTGAACACTGCTTTACTTGACAACTTTAGTGCTAAACATTCAAATGTACCGCTGTTACATAGAGAATTCCCTTATAACATTTATTCTGAGCATAGTTTCTAGCTGTAGCCCCTTCAGATGATTCCAGAATGGTTTATGTATTCAGGGACAGGTTGTGATGGGTTTGACTTACCAAAGAGAGCTACAGACTTAGCTAAAACAAAACATACAAAAAGACTAAAGCATAGTCCTCTTTTCTTTACAGTTGAAGTATTCACTTAGTAGCTTAGCCGACAGTGTGAACCTTGACCTGGCATCCTGGTGGGCAGCTAAGCACACTTCTTTAGATGAGGGTTGTACCTGTATGATATAGTCCCTGTATGAAAACCGTCTCAGGCAAGAAATGACTGTTTTACATTATTATTATTATTAGACACATTGATTCTTAAAGGAACATAATTATGAATATAAACAAATTATAAACCTGAAAAATATCATGTAACTATATTATGTTATTAAACAAAATAACGTTGGTTTACATTTTAGCAATAGCATGTGAATTAACTACTAAATTAAATATAACATAAGATGTGAGCTTTTAAAACAATGATTTGTATATAGCATATACCATAGGTGTGCCACACGAGACTGTTCCTGTCTGTCCTTCACACTTTTTAACACTATAGATATGCAAATGCAAAGGGTAGATAACCGTCACCTAACATACCAGTGGCACCTAGCTGCTCATGCAAGGTCAACTGTTAGATGTTCCTTTAGAAAGGTAGCATGTGGTAATGTTTGACTGGTTCCAGTGTTGTGGTTTTGATACCTCTTCTAAGTCATGTATTAAAACGACCAATAATTGAATATCCTAAATAATGATCCAGTATAAACTGAGCAGTGTGAGTGAACCAGTTATGAAGAAAGAGGTATAACTGAATATATGTATTTATCAGTTGTCAACCAACATAAGTGACAGGTATGGCCACATTATTATAAACTAATATGCCCATTTCCCTTTCCTTCTCTTCAGGCACTTCTACACACTCGGAACGTGTCTGCCGAGGAGGCGGCAATGTACTACTTCAACAAGCTGGAGAATGAGGTGCCCATAAGATAGCCTTAGTCCCCACAGGTACACCTTGGTACATTAGACCTTGTGAAGTTTGTCCAAAGCCAAATCTCAGTGTCTCTCTGTCTGCTCCACTCTCAGGAAGAGGGGGACGATGACCTCATGTTCAAGATGGTGTTTGTGGTGAACATGGACCTGGCCATGGGGGTCGGAAAGGTTGGTTCCAATGCCGCTCCTCTCACCAAAACTAAGGAAGGGCTTTTTGGCGTAGCTCCATTTGAATCTCGGTTTTACAGTGATGTAAAGCTGCTATATTTGTGGGTGTTTTACAAAGGTTTTAATTTGTGTTACTTTGTAATATTTGATGTTCTTCTGTGCTTTTGCTCTGCGTGGGAGTATTTCATGCTCAAATCAGTTGCAGTGAAACAGTGATTGTAGGGATTTCATATCAATTTAGTTGAACAGTTTGCATTCCATTAGAGAGCTGAGTTATGTTTTCCCGTATGGAGTTGTTTGAACTTGGTCTGAAACATCACATAAAGGCCATTTGCAGTATGGCCTAAATAAAGATTCCCATGTAGTGGTGACATCAGTAGTGTTTGTGTGCAGGTGGCAGCCCAGGTTGGGCACGCTGCTGTGGGTTTGTACCAGGCTCTACAAGAGAAGAACAGCTGGAGGGAGATGGCCTGGAAGTGGGACCACAGTGGGTAAGACCTGCACAACAGAGGAGCAAGCATGTTCTACAGCTGCTGTTTGCAAAAATCCCAAATGTTTATCCAGTAATGCTACAGTTCCTGGAGTGTTCACGCTAGTCCCCCTTTAGTCTCTTGAATATAAAAGAAATGCAGCCCCTAAACTGAGTAGGGATAGATGTACTTCCTTTGCATTTTTCTTTTTCGATCATTGCTCTGATGATTATAATATTGTTAAATAATGAATTTGTTTCTAATGAACATTAATGATGAAAATCAATGTGCATGGTGTTGATACAGATCCAAGAAGGTGGTGGTCCAGGGGACTAATGTGGCTCATCTACTGGAGCTGCAGGCCCTGGCCATGAGCCTCAGTCTACCCGCCTACCTGGTCCAAGATGCAGGGCTCACCCAGGTAGGACCTTCTTTAAGTAATATGGTGTGTACTTGTCTTTCGGAAGCACTAGTAATTATTCGCAAAACATTGTCCAATTATTGGTACTAAAATCTTTGGTTAGAAAATGTATTTTTTCAGTTTTAACAAGTGCCTTGACATGAAGACCTTTTTGTGTGGCAGGTGGAAGCTGGGTCGCGCACCGTGCTGGCCATTCTTGGGGAGGAAGAGATGGTGAACAACGTCACTGGGAGTCTGAAGCTGCTTTGAGGGGCTGACCCCCACGGTGGGGGAGGCATTGCTCTGCAGTGCCACTGTGCATCCAGCAGAAGGCATTATTTCCCAGCGGCAGGGAGAGTCTTGGCATGCAAGCGGCAACCTTTACAACAACAACAAAAAGACCTGAAGAACAAGGGAAATCCAGACATGTCCCAACACCAGACACAAACCCCCTCAGCCATTTGTTTCCCTTTCATTCTTTGTCTGAGCCGCTTAGCCGGCCTTAAGAGCAGGAGGGGAGAGAGCACGGTTGTTCACAGGGTAACGAGGCGTAGGCCGTTGAATTTTCTTTTTCTGGTGACCTTTCTCTTTTCACACAGGCAACTTACTTACTAAAGTCTTATTAGAACATTTCAAACACCTTGAGTATGTGGTCCAGTTTCAGATATGGCAAAGTTAAAAAAGTTGAGTTGGTGGCCGAACCAATATGCTTATTCAAGGGGCAATGTACTTTAGACAAATACACGATGTAATTATAATTATACCCATAGCAGACGTAGTATTTCCCTGTTGGATCCACTATTCCTGAGTGAAGGATAAACTATTAACTGATCATCTGTGAACACTAATTTTGATGTTTAAATGATTTTGTGTCTGTATGCAACGTTTCCCCCAAAGACCCCTATCCTATAGAATCAATAACATTACTCATTATGGATAAATGGCTATATATTGTATACATTTGCCTGTTGGCGGGCCATATACTGTATAATCTGTGGTGTGCCATCCTGAACCATATGCGCAGTTACTGGACTTTGTTGTATTGTTTTTCTTTGTGCAAAAGGGAGAAAACTCTAAATTGAAATGTTTGGATTTACTGTTGGAATTGATGGCGGTCGAGAGGTTATGTGGAGCCAAAACGTCATGAAGTAAAGGTCTGCTGGGCTAACGTATGCACTGACTGCCTGTGAGGGATAGTTCACTTTAATGAAGTTACTTTAATGAAGTAACATTTACAGCTTGACAAAATGCAGATAATTGTGTGTATGACAATTATTATAGACTTGGTGAATAGTCTTGCACACTATTAATCTTAATACACAAAATGATGTTTGAGCTGTGTCTATGTTCTCATTTACAAATATTTGCGGGCATGAGCTGCCACTCCCAGAATTCCTGGTTTAATGTCAACGATTTTATTTGTAACAGATCATAAAGAAACGGCGGTGGCATGCATGCGATATGAAATGTACATTTCAGTAGACAAGTTGGAATCCCAAAGTTCTGTCAATTTTAGTTACATGTCGACACTTTGATACCTCCTATGTTTTACAGCCATTTGTGTGAGTGCTTCAGACTATGTATGGAGACAATTAAAATGCCTCCAGATTAAGTAACAACCATCTTGAATCGTGTTTTGTTCTTACACACTTGAACATAGAGACAATGCATATGAGAGAGGGGCTGGAGCAGTGTGGGGGAGGGTGGCCAATGGCATATTGCAGTGCGTGGTTAGGACCGGCCATATTACATAGCTTTTTCACCGCAGTAACAATGGCAGCATTGTGAAATATGGCCTTGCCGACCATGAGAGTCCGGCCGGGGAGTTTGTAAATATTAACCTCATGACGTGCAGTTGGAAATAACTCTGGAGATCGTGTTTATTTAGTAACCTACAACCGAGTAGATACCACAGAGAGGAAGTCATTCCTAGAAAAGAATTGCATATTCAGTTGAAAGTATAAATAACCAAGGGAAGTTGGTTATTACTGTAGGGCGTAGCCTTCATTTCATATAATTGATCTATTACAAATATGCATTGTCGTCAGTGGCTTAGCAGGCTTGTGTTCACACCTGTTACTAATGCAAGATAATGTGAATGTTTACATCATTTCCATAGCGTGATACTATTATGATGGTTTGACAGCACATTGTTTTAATGTCAAGTGTCACAGCACAGGTGTAAAATATCGTGTAATACTATTAAACCACATCCGGATCACTGCTTTGGTCGGTCTTCCTGCGCGTTATCATATACATTCATACCCAAATGTATAAAATGCAAACGTCCCTAATTGTGTTTTTCTGATTCAGATTCATGAACATCTTTTTAATTATTGAAGCCCCACAACACAATTATTCTGCTGTCTAATGTCGTCGCTCGTCAGACCGTTCTTATTATACATCCATGGTCAGACCTCTGCAACAAATGACGTTGGCATTTATTTCCACAGCCAATCCGAGTTGCCCCTCGATTCTCATGACTGGCCAAGAAACCAATCGCGTTATTATCACTATTTGTTTATAATAGTGGCTTGGTTAAGTAGACTGTAAAAGCTATATGAAAACAATGTATTACTTCTGTTAAATAATGTATTCGATGTGCTTAGTAGCCTCGACAATAACTTTAATTTAATGAAAAATAAAACCAGGGCGCGTCTCAAATCTCCTTACGCTAAACATCACAGAAAGCTGGCCATTTCCTCTTACAACTCCCTGAAATGGTTCTATTGAGCCGCTGCTGACGGGAAGTGTCGTTCACTTGTTCAGTATTTCTGCATAGTGTGCGGAACAGACTTATTTCGGTAGCGGGAACAGAGGTAGGACTGGAGGGAGAAGTTATCAATTGATGCAACTCAGGAGCAATGGTCAATTTCCCTATCCAACCCCTCAGCAGATGCTACACAGCGACACCTCATCCTCCATTCATCTGACGTGCCGTAGGTGGGGCTGACCCATTGGGCCAACCCTGACTCTGGTGTCCCTGGAACTGGGCCCTAGAGACCCCGTGTAGCTAACGCTCGCTACTCTGAATGTCTATGAAAGCTCCTTCCACGTTAAATAGATTCATACAACCCTCAAATAAAAAGCATTAATAATCCCACTAACGAGTTAAAATAAATCCCATGGAATTTCTCATATTATAACGATAATTTCCAGAAAATAAGGAGGCACCGATCCTCAGTTGGTTGTCAAAGCGTCTCCCGATTTCAGCCCCTCTCGCTCTCCTTGCTTGCAGTCACCAGTAAACACATATCTTAATGGAACTGAAATGTCGTACCGCTCCTGAAAAAGGAGCCCGCCCCGTTTGACGTAGTTAGCGGAAAAAAAACGTCGACGCTGTAAATTACCCAAAGACTCTCATGTATACGTCGTGTGTAACATGACTGACACATTGATATCGAATCATTAGTGAGAGGCGGGACATCAGAGCAAGGGCCGCCCAGCCAGAGAGCCCCTGCATTGTCGCCAGGGAAACCCCGTGGCGTGGTTGTGTGTCAGTTTCGCTGGGACCCGCGGTCGATGCCGGTGAGGAGGGGGATGGGCGCCTCTGCGAGTGTAAGGACCCGAGACAGAATCAGAGCCCTGTATCACATACAGCAGCATATATCCCATTATAAATAGCGACTGTATATATACAATACACTAAAATACATGGATTTATCCACCGGGGATCTATAATAGACACTCAATGGATGCAGTGCACCTGAACAGGACAGGGAATTTAACTTTCCGCCTATGCGTAGGAGACGCTGAGAAGTTTGTTTCCTACCCCTGGAGGGGGAGCTACTTTTAAGGGCAAAGGATACAGGAGACTCCGAGGCCGATTTGCAGGCCTACTGGTCTGGTTGGATTTGATGTTGGGATACTCTAAGGACTTCCCACTGTACATGCATTTGCCTCGTTTGTTCAAGTTTGGAATGCCTCTTTAGGTGAGTACTTTGAATATTTGTTAATATAACAGTGCTATATGTATGTTACTGCTTCCATTTACAGACAAGTATTGATCATGTTTTCAGTCCCCCTAACGTACCCATGAAGCTAACCAACTTGGCTAACTCCTCAGCGTCCACATAAGTTTATTAGAACAAGTTGGTTGTCCTCACTATCTTTACACATTTTAAAGTGAATTGCTAACAAGCTTTCCATGTTGAAGGTCTGCCTCAGTGCTGCTCTGTGTCTGGACTGATCTTCCATGACTTTTTGATCAGCTCCTCGTGTTGTTTTTGATGGCAAGCTTGTTAGTGTGGAAATCCACAACACTAATAGTGTTATAATAGATCATGCTAAAACATTATTTTAAGCAAACATGTCTCCAAAGCTTTCGACACCATCCTGCAAGTTTTCGAGAGTTTGACTGGTGTAACGTTTGCTCCATTCAGGGTCCCTGCAGTTCAGTTTTTCTCAGTCTTCATACCAGGAACAAACCAGTCACACTTGGTTAACGTTATAATGTTGTACGACCTGGACGACCAATACACGTTATAGGGATATTGTGTTTTGCCACAAACCCTCTAAGCTACGGATTGGTGTCGTGTTGAACTATTGCTTTAATCTTTTTTTGTGGAGCAAGTTTCGATAATGTGTGTCCGCAAAGCCTAAACATACACTAACGTTACACAGACCAAACATCTCCAGCAGCACATCTATGCAATTAAGTAAATGTAAGAGCCTGTAAATACGGTAGACCTACAACAGATGTGTTTAGTAGGGAAGTTCAGAATCAGGCAGTATCGTTAAGATAATATGCAAACTTGTTAGTTGGAAGCCAAAATATATTTTGGGCACTGTCCTTTCGACATTAATGTCTTCAATGTTTTTCTGGGACGCCAAAATTGTCGAATTTTTCAAGTTATCAATGACATAACTTGCAATTAGATCATTATTGACGACTCATGTTAGCTGAGCAGCCAGCTGCTGTGTTTGTTAGCAGACCAGCCATAGGCAACAAATGCTATATTAGCTTTTAAGCTAACTTTTTGGATGTTTTCCAGTTGATTGTGTCCTTATTTTGAACCGCTTATTTTCTGCAGACATTGCATGGACCTTAACTATGTTTAAACCTGACTTTTTAAGCTGCATCTATTATTGCAGTGGGTTTTTGCACTTATACGTTTATTTTTATGAAATAATAGTGTCTGCATCATGGTGGTGTTCGACTACTTCATGTTAATGCTTCTGTCTTTGGCAACATTCCTGATTTCGCTCAGGCGTGTGAATCGAGCTGTGGCTGGGTTGTGTTTTTCTCTATTTGTGCTTGTTATTCTTTCCCTGTGTGTTTTGGTATTCAGCAATCAGAAAACCAGATCTGTTGGGTAGTGACTTGCTCTTCTTCACCTCCCCCACCTACCAACCCCCAGCCTCTGTGGCGGTTAAGAGAAATGGGTGGTATTTAGAGGGGAGCTCTTGTTTCCTTTTTTAGCCTCCATTTTTATTTCAACGTGTGAATATCATTGTTGAGTAGGTATGCAGCAATCACAAGTTTCAAGCAAGTTAGCGACCTCGAAGCGGATGCGTTTGTAAAGAACTTGCGTGGCATTACATTATTCAGACCTTTATTGATATGAGAGAATGCAATACATGTAACCCTTCCCATTTTTAGATTGAGTTTGGTTCTCAATATTAATCTATACATTTCCGAAATATAGTGGATAATGATTCCGAGTTGAAATGTAACACTGAGATCTGTGAGCTAGCCACTACATGGTTTGGGACAGGGCAGAATGGACTGTGAGATTAGAAAGCGCCCAGTGTTATGTTTTTGTGAGTTTTTATATTTATTAGGACCCCGCGGTTTCAGAGCATTAATGGCTGCCCTCGCCATCGCCTGTAGCTGCTCTCCCCTCAGCTGCAGCGCGCAGCCCCGCATCGTGCGGAGCACGGCCCGGGTACACGGAGAACCAGCTCATTGTAATACCTCGGACATGGTTAGGTCAATTCATGTGCCCACGGATGTGTGATTACATCTCTGCAGAGATAGTTGTGTCGTACCTGTCATCATTTCAGATCCAAACATATTACAATTTATACTCTCAGAAATCTTTCCTCGTTTAGATTAAATTATTTTCTGCACAATACCTGGTGTCAGGGTGATTCGGTTACAGTCATATTTCATATATTCTCACTTTAAAGTACTGCGTTCACTGATCAAGGATAATCGAACCACCCAAAAACATGGTTAAAATCAACTCTTTGAGATTGAAATAATGTATTTGTGTGTTTCTTGCTCCATAAATACAAATATTTCACCTGTGCCCCACTGAGAGCATTCAGCCAGCACCAAGTATTTGGGTTGATCTTGATGCCTGTTGGAAGCCATGATGCAGTGCACTGATCCTTGTTTTCATTGGTTGCGACTGACATTCTCTGAATATGTTTCACATCTTTTAATAGACTGGGCTGCAACATGCAAACCTGGCCTCTCAGAACCATTGGAAACATGAGCCCCCCCCCCCAGCATCCCCCTGACCCTGACGTGCCGTTTTAACTCACCCTGCCACCCTGGGAAAGCTAAGAATGAAGTGCTTGGCAGCTTGTTGCTGCTCTGACCCGCCATGTTGGTTTTCCAGTGCTCTCAGGCAGCTTCAGACTATGTGTTGGAGTGAGATACATGTGTTGTGGG